AAAATTTTGAGGTTCATCATTCAAAAATCTGAATTGTTTAAAGGCTTTACGTGATTTTTCACACTTAAATGTAGAAATCAAGTATATCCTCTGAAAATAACTCATGACTGTCTACAATGGGTGTAACACCCGAGTCCCACTGTCTGTGATGTTTTCAGAGTTTTCAGAGTCCTATCTTCAGTTTGTTTACATCGCCCGGACGGCCGGCTGACTCCTCCCCTCGAGTATAAAAGTTGTTTAATTGAGGGACTAGAGAAAAGAAGAATAACATACTGTACTCACTGCATTAGCATGAACACAACAATGCACCGACTATAAAACCTTAAAGAAGAAACTGCTTCTCTTTCAAAATCTTTATTTATTTTTTGTACAATAAAGCAAATTAGCTTCCCCCGATTACAGAAGCAACAACATGGAAAATGTATAAAGCAGAGGGTGCACAGAGCCGTACTGTGGGAGAGTAGGTTGTTTGACGTTTGATTTAAGAACAAAAACTTTCCAATAGCAGTTTGATGTTTTTCTTCAGCTGTAGTTTCAGGGCCTTTAATATCTTCACAGCCCCTCAGCTGGCTGTTATTCCCCTCACTGTTGTGGTTTTAACAGCATTCTGCAGTCTGTGCAGTACTCCCACTGCTCTGCTGCTGCCGCCGCTGCTCTCTTCCCATAAAATGATCAATTTCCAAAACAACCCATGCGCTGCTGGTAAAAAGACAATTTTAGTATTAACCCTTAAAGGTCGAGGATGCGTCACAGTTGTGTAAGCACACTTTAGTTTCTCAAGCCCCCTTTTTCTGAGTAGGACTAAACTAATAACCATCACTGTGTCAGAAGAAGCAGAGCGGCTGCATCAGTGGTATGTCTGCTTTGATGCTCGTCTTTCTGTTACAGCTTTTAGATGCATAACATCTGGATCAAATAACAACCACAGGTAGAGGTTTTCATTCAAATATAAAACTTTAATTTGTGTTTAACTGTTTGACGAGGAAGCTGCTGTTTCTGTTGAGTAGTGTTGTGTTTTATCAGTAAATACTTAAAAATGTAGTCCTAGAAAAGGCAACAAAAACCAGTTAGCATGCTTTGTTAGCATCTCAACCTTGTTCACCTTTGTGACCACAGAGTCACTAATGAAGACTCTGTGTAGTCAGGTGGCCGAAGCAACAAATGTGTTTGTGTAATTTAGACGGTGAGCTGGAGCTCGCTTGTAATTTGTGGTAATTCAAAACTTTACATAATATTTG